TCGCTCTTTCCCCTCCCTCGCTCTATTCCATCAGCCCTAACCTAACCTAACCTAGTAAGTAAGGTACAGGATGGTGAATACTGTCGTGAGTTCAAAATTCAGGCTTGTTACATGGGTAGACTGTCGTAAGTCCACTTGCGTCACTTGGCTTGAAAAACTTTGTGATATCAAATGTCGTATGTCAAGCTCCAGAACCCGGGTGGGTAGGCAACCCCTTTAGCATAGGTGCTTTGCAGACACAACACCTTTCGCCCCTTAATAACAGCGTAGGCACAATTTGCAACCAAATTTTGACATAAGCAAAATTAGTGAATTGAAAAAAAATTGTGCAGTAGCCTCCTGACTAGCCTTAACAAAACTAAAAACGATTAATAGTGCACTGCTGGAATAGCAAATCACAATTTTCAAAAAATCTAGCTAGGTAAAATCGTTAACAATGCTACACAAATAAATGCAATGCATCGAGTGAAGTTATACAGGAAACAAAGTTTATGCTACTGCGCATTAAGCTGCAAAGTAATTCGGGTTTGTTTGCTGCGAACATTTGGGCGATGAATTTTGCAAGTGAAAATCTCATAAGGAACGCACTGAGTGGTTTGAAAGACATGATCAAAACAACAAACTTGAACAATTGTTGCATTGAAAATAATAAAATTTTAACAATACTAAAAACAGAGATGGTGCTCATTAATGATATGGTAAAAAAAAAATAATTTAATAACCACATAAAAGATTGAAGCTAAAGCATAACAATAAAAATAATGCTCTATCATAAAAATATTTAGCACCAATAAACTTAAAACTAAAATTTGCTCGTCACAAGCAACGGTTTCATTTCCTTCTCATTTCAAGGCACCGGCTGCTGTGATCGAAGCCACACACACATTCACACACACATTCACACACACAAAAAGGGAAAAAAAACAGAACAGAGTTTTTCCCAAAAGAGAACTCCCTCCCCACTACCATTGACGTGTTCCTCCCCAACTGGCCCCTGACTGACCACTGGATGGGTCTTCTGGTGGTTCAACATAACTTGGGTTTGGGTTTCTCGTGACACGTACTGGTTGTTGCCTTCCAGCTGGTCTCTGTGGGGAGGGCTGAGCGTCCAGGCTTCGACGTCCACGTCGCGTATTAACAGGTCGTCTGCAAGAGGCTGTCTGTAACAAGGTCTCTGTAAAAAATTGTGTCTGTAACAGGTCGTCTGTAACAGGTCCTCTGTAACAGGCTATCTGTAACAGGGTGTCTGTAACAGGGTGTTTGTAACAGGGTGTCTGTAACACGCTATCTGTAACAGCCTGTCTGTAACAGCCTGTCTGTAACGGGCTGTCTGTAACAGGCTGTCTGTAACAAGCTGTATGTAACAGGCTGTCTGTAACAGGTCGTCTGTAAGGGGCTGTCTGTAACAAGGTCTCTGTAAAAAATTGTGTCTGTAACAAGGTGTCCGTAACAGGCTGTCTGTAACAGGGTGTCTGTAACAGGTTGTCTGTAACAGGCTGTCTGTAACAAGCTGTCTGTAACAGGCTGTCTTTAACGGGCTGTCTGTAACAGCCTGTCTGTAACAGCCTGTCTGTAACAGGGTGTCTGTAACGGGCTGTCTGTAACAGGCTGTCTGTAACAGGGTGTCTGTAACGGGCTGTCTGTAACAGGCTGTCTGTAACAGGCTGTCTGTAACAGGTCGTCTGTAACAGGTCGTCTGTAACAGGTCGTCTGTAACAGGCTGTCTGTAACAGGCTGTCTGTAACAGGTCGTCTGTAACAGGTCGTCTGTAACAGGTCGTCTGTAACAGGTCGTCTGTAACAGGTCGTCTGTAACAGGCTGTCTGTAACAGGGTGTCTCTAACAGGGTGTCTGTAACAGGGTGTCTGTAACAGGGTGTCTGTAACAGGGTGTCTGTAACAGGGCGTCTGTAACAGG